ATCATCATGCTATGATCTTCATTTGCTTCACCACTTGGACTGTGCTACCTATCTCATGATCACTTGATAAACTAGGTTAGCACTTAGGGTTTCATCAATTCACCAAAACCAAACTAGAGCTTTCAACAGCTCGACAGCGTCTTGCGGTGGACACAACCGCGACGGCCACGCCACGTAGTGGTAGTGGCTCGGCCAAGGCACGCAGGTTACTGAGGGGGTCACTATGAAGCTATAGACATGATTGGAATGGGCGCTAAGGTTCGGAGGAGGGTGGATTAGGGGATGACTCAGTGCAGCCTTATGGTGACCAGAGTGGGGGAAATCCCAAATTGGCTCCCGACAGAGCCCGACCATGGCAGCAGACGGGATTGGCATTAAATTAGGCTTCCCAACTCTCGACTGGCTCAAGCATTAACCACGGGAATGACTAGGCGCTGCGAACTAGCTCACCGGACGGAAGTGATGGAAGAGGGAGGTAGGCAGAGCTCGACCCGTCCGGCGCCAACGCGCTATAAAAGAGTCAGGCCAAGCGCAAAGATCAAATCGAGGAAGGCAAGCGGCGTGGCAAGGGGCCATGTGCCGCCACAAGAGGTTGGCAATGCGGCCACGCCACAAAGTGCCATTCATGGGCAAGACGACGCTAGCAGGGGGGGCCATGTGTCGACATTGGGTGCGCGTCTTGAAGAAGAAGGTAGTAGCAATGATGATGCGCCAAATGACAAGCCACAGCCGAAGCCATGATACCTCGGCCAACGGCCAACGCACTGCATCAAGTGCCGCGACGTGATTTGAGCAAGACGGATAGGCCCACCGCCCCAAATGGTCCCGAAAAGGCGCGTGAGTGCGTGCTTGGGCATGGTAGTGGGTGATAGTGGCGAGCAACATGGCGCCAACGGTTGAAAGGTCCTAATGGCTATAGGGGGTGAATAGCCTATAAAAATTTCTACAACAACACTTAGCAAACCGGTTAGACAAATATAAGGTGAAGCAAGTGTGGCGCTAGCCTACTAAAAATACAAGCCACCTACCACAATTCTAGTTTATATAGTTTTTATCTACACAATGACTATGGCACTACACTAAATTAGTGTGCTCTCAAAGGCTAACTAAAGAGCCGCACTAACCAAACTAACAAGCTCTAGCAACTAGCTACACTAAAGAGCTTGATAACTAATCTACGGTTATGTAGAGAGAGAGAGAGAGCAAGATAGTTATACCGTCGTGTCGAGGAATGAACCAATCAATCACAAGAATGAAAACCAATGAAGACCAATCACCTCGAAATCAAATGATGACACAATGATTTTTTACCGAGGTTCACTTGCTTGCCGACAAGCTAGTCCTCGTTGTGACGATTCACTCACTTGGAGGTTCACGCGCTAATTGGCATCACATGCCAAACCCTCAATAAGGTGCCGCACAACCAACACAAGATGAGTATCACACAAGCACGAGCAATTCACTAGAGTACCTTTTGGCTCTCTGTCGGGGAAAGGTCAAGAATCCCTCACAATCACCACGATCAGAGCCGGAGACAATCACCAACCTCCGCTCGACGATCCTCGCTGCTCCAAGCCGTCTAGGTGACGGCACCACGAAGAGTAACAAGCAAATCCCACAGCGAAATATGAACACCAAGTGCCTCTAGATGCAAACACTCAAGTAATGCCCTTGGATTCACTCCCAATCTCACAAAGATGATGAATCTATGATGGAGATGAGTGGGAGGGCTTTTGCTAAGCTCACAAGGTTGCTATGTCGATGCAAATGGCCAAGAGTATGAGCTTGAGCCGGCCATGGGGTTTAAATAGAAGCCCCCACGAAATAGAGCCATTGGGCTCCTCATTGCACTGAACACGGGGCGACCGGACGTGCCGGTCAGATTGACCGGACGCTGGACCTCAGCGTCCAGTCGCGTGATGCCCGCCACGTGGCCCCTAGCTTCAAACGCTGATCGCCTGATCTCAACGGTCATCAGTACATTTAAGTTGTGACCGGACGCGCTACTTCGAAGTGACCGGACGCAGGACCTCAGCGTCCGGTCGTTTCCAGTAAGCATCCAGAGATGATTTTTCACAATCGGACGCATCCGGTCATGCTCGACCGGATTCACCCAACATCCAATCACTTGACGTCTCCCCTGTGTGCTGCATATGTCATCATACGTCATACTGACCAGACTCAGGCCCTGAGCGTCCGGTCATGAGACCGAACCCGCACGCTCACTGCTACCACTGACCAGACGCGCCGGTCCTACCAGGACCAGCGTCTAGTCACCTACAGTGACCTCTGTCTTTTCTGTATAGAGCGCCGGTGGCACCGTCAGACTATCCTCACTCTACGGGCGGACACTCCGCCGGTAAAGTTTCTAACCCTTGCTCAAATGTGCCAACCACCAAGTGTATCACCTTGTGCACATGTGTTAGCATATTTTCACAAACATTTTCAAGGGTGTTAGCACTCCACTAGATCCTAAATGCATATGCAAAGAGTTAGAGCATCTAGTGGCACTTTGATAACCGCATTTCGATACGAGTTTCACCCCTCTTAATAGTATGGTTATCGATCCTAAATATGATCACACTCACTAAGTGTCTCGATCACCAAAACAAAATGACTTATACCATTTATACCTTTGCCTTGAGCCTTTTGTTTTTCTCTTTCTTCTTTTCAAGCCCAAACACTTGATCATCACTATAGCATCACCATCATTATGTCATGATCTTTATTTGCTTCACCACTTGGAATGTGCTACCTATCTCATGATCACTTGATAAACTAGGTTTGCACTTAGGGTTTCATCAATTCACCAAAACCAAACTAGAGCTTTCGGTGTGTAGCCATTACCATGCATGGCCGGACGATGTGAGCTTGGCCACCCAGATGAGCCCCCAGCAAAGCGATGGCTAGGACCAATATGATGGTGTCTGTGTGCGTCGGGCAAAACCAAAGACAAATACAGCGAGCCGAGGCATGGTGACCACGCCCATTCACAGACATCGACCGGAACGTGCCATGCACGATTTTTAAAGCGCCCCAAAAATCAAATTTGTTGCTTCAAACATCGAACCACCTATTCTATGCTCAAAAAGGCATATCAAGCTACTAAAACCAGCCATGAAATTACACTACTTCTTAATCCAATTTGCCTACAAAAATTGCTAAACTTGGCCTTGTAAAACCGTTTTCTGACTTAGGAATTTCGACTAAGTCTCGATCGGATTCGCGTCGAATTCGATTTTCAGGCTATTCGATATGTTAGCTAGTGAATTCCTTTCGCGACCTCAAGTATTTCATTGTCACCTACGAAGCTTATACTATAAACTTTATTGAAGTGCCGTATATGCATTCTATAGTATTTTCATTCAATAAAAATTCGTTTAAAACCCTAAGTGATATAACACGACATTGGATGTATCTTTCGTTTCACGTTTCCGATGATCATTTCAAGTTACGTACATTGCTTTACACACTATATTACACACCTTTACACATAAATATGATGCTCATGCAGTGTTTTAGCAAAAGACTGTACAGTGTAACACCACGTAGCAAAATGGATGAACCAAAAAAGTCAAAAAGACTTATAAAGAGAAACCTGCCCAAAATCAAACTGGTTCAGTACGTAGTTCGTCCTAGTTTGGTTACCTACACATGTATGTCCATAGGTAAGATATCACTGTCCTCAAAATAAGGTGGTGTTTGGTTGCCCCTCCTAAATTTTAGTCGTTGTCTCATCGAATGTTTGATACATACATGGAGTATTAAATATAGACTAATTATAAAACTAATTGCATCGTTTGCGACTAATTTGCGAGACGAATCTTTTAAGCCTAATTAGTCCATGATTTGACAATATGATGCTATAGTAAACATGTGCTAATGACGGATTAATTAGGCTTAAAAATTTGTCTCGTGGAATACCGACGGATTATGTAATTTATTTTTTTATTAGTATCTGAACTCTCCATACAATATCCTTCTAACACACCTCCTAAATTTTAATCAATAGATCAAACAACAGCTAAGTTCATTCTGCATCCCACAATCCGGTCAAATCCGACGCATCCATCTATTCACTCTTCCTCGGTACACCCAATCAGTAGCTCAAGATACAGTCTAGTCAATTATGCAGAAAATTATAATCATATGCATAATACTGCATAGTTTTCTAATTCGACAAACAAACGACAACAAATTGCAATACTAATGCGAGTACCAACCGACCCATAATGTACTGATTTGCTACTGCTAGGCTGTCGTTCCTCCATAAAATGGGCAACCTGACGTGATGCCATAGGATGATTGTGTCCTCCTGCCCCCGAAGACTTGGGCCACGTTTAGTTGGTACACCAACTTGGCGCCGCCAGATTCTGCGGTCACTGTAGCCACAGTAGCTTATTCGTTTTTATTTGGTAATAATTGTCTAAACTTTGATTAATTAGGCTCAAAACGTTCATCTCGTAAAGTACAACTAAACTGTGTAATTAGTTTTTGATTTCGTCAACATTTAGTACTCCATACATGTACCACAAGTTTGATGTGACGGAAAATCTTTTTTTTACATAGTGTCAAATTCTAGAATTTGAGAGAACTAAACAGGCCCTTGGACAAAAAGACGACAGCTTTTGTTTGGAGGCAAATCCGCTTGGAGCGATCAGGGCCAGAATTGATTGTTTATGGCTCGCGCGGACAGTTGCATGTTCGAAGCGAACTCGATAAGTGTGTGGTGATGCGTCTCGATCCGTGCACCGCTTGGGCTTCTCCGGAGTACTACTACTGCCCAGCCTGTCACCGTCAGCGTATGTTTTTGTTCCACCAGCTCCTATTTTTTATTTTTACTTAAGTCCCGTGCTCCACCCACTAGGGATCCTATCCAGATTCGTGGGGATACCCTCTTCCAGTTCCAGGTTTCTAACCCTCTCGTCTCTGTAGCCTGTAGGCTGTAGCATTTGTCGGGTTGGATTGGGTTGTTCCGCTTGGGTAGCCGGGTGGGATCCATGGCGGCGGTCGAGGGGACGACGAAGAAGAAGGTAATCATCGACACGGACCCCGGAATCGGTAGGTACCCATCCTTGCGATTGCAATCGTCGTCTTCGCTGTAGATCGATAGTGCGTCTCCTTCTTCTTGTTGCGTTCGGATCGCAGTCCAGTAACCGATCCGCTGTTCGACGGAGCAGATGACGCGATGGCCATCTTCGTGGCACTGCGGTCGCCGGAGCTGGAGGTGCTGGGCCTCACCACTACCTTCGGCAACGTCCACACCGCCCTCGCCACGCGCAACGCGCTCCACCTGGTACGCTGCTGGTGCCGCCCGCGGCCTGCCTTCCTCTCTTCCCCCACCCTGTTGGTCTGTTCCGCGCACTCCGACCGCGGCTCACATTTGCATCTGATGGGTGTACTTCAGTTGGAGGCTGTTGGAAGGACAGACATCCCCGTGGCAGAGGGATCCCATGTAACAATCAAGGTAGCTGTCAGCATCTCTTCGTTTCTGTTTCCACGCTGAATCGGTGTTCAATTGTCAGCGTTGCAGCTCTCATCAAACAGAAAAAAGGAATTCAAAGAATTGCAGTCATCTAGTAAATCAACAAACAGTTGAGGGACCGCCGTCAAGAGGATCCTTCGTGCTGATCAGCAGCTTTCAACAAGGCTGTTTGCTTGTTTACTGTGTCATCTGAATTACTGTTTCTTTCCCTTTTTCCCCCTGTATACACGGAGCACAGAAAGTTACCAAGCTGAGGATCGCAAGCTTCGTCCACGGTTCAGACGGCCTGGGAAACCAGGACTTCCCTCCACCGGCTACCAAGCCTGTAGATCAGTCGGCTGCTGCCTTCCTGGTTGAGCAGGCAAATCTGTACCCTGGACAAGTTACCGTCGTCGCCCTCGGTCCACTTACCAACCTTGCTCTGGTCTGCTCTCGTCTCCTCTGCTTTGGTTAACCAATACAGTACATACATTGGGTGCACCTATCGCGTGTATCTCATGTGATCTAGCTTGTCTGGCTTCTTTTAGTTGATTTTTTTTTGGCAATCTCTGGTTACCCAGGCAGTTGAGCTTGACCCTTCGTTCCCGAAGAAGATAGGGCAGATTATTATTCTTGGCGGTGCATATTCAGTTAACGGAAATGTGAACCCTGCAGCTGAGGCAAATGTGAGGGTTCTCTCTTAATTTCTCTGATACATTCTGTAGTCTCTTAATTTCACTCGAGCTCTGCAATGAGCTGGTAGGTACCATGATCGAGACAATGATGCAGTAGCACTTTTTTAATTGGAGTTGTACTATCATGGCCCCCCCAATGAAGTCAGAGAAAAATAAACTTCCCTCTACATTGGTTGATGCTTAAACAGTGCTTCACTTTGCTTGAGTCGTCAATAATGAATTCATGTTTATTCACAGATCTTTGGGGATCCTGACGCGGCAGATATTGTGTTCACCTGCGGTGCTGATATTTTGGCTGTGGGACTAAATGTAACCCACCAAGTAGTTCTAACCGGTAATTCTGCTGCATTTAAGGGTTACATTCTTTCTGCTCAGGATGTATGCTGCATCAAGATAAGATTAATGAGTATCAGAGCATACAAGTACAAGCATAATGGATCTAACATGCTACATGTACCTTCTAATTCCATCTTACTCCACTATGACCATCACATAATCAGAGCTGAAAACAGCTACAACTTGTTGCGTTATTACATTTGTGGTTTACAATTTTGCGTATACTGATATAATTCTTCTTTTATAACCTACTTCTCATTAGTCAATTGCAATGCATTGATAAAGGTAGTGTCCTTCGCAATATTACCGTATTGAAAGACCAATTTTGCAGGCATGGTGCACTGCACATTGATTTTCGGTTCTTCTGCAGTATGATGTGACTTGTGATTGCTTTGCTAGTGGATTAGATCAAATTTATCCAAATGATAAGTAATCAAGATTTTGAACAATTCGAATTGTAGGCTATTTGGAAGTGGCCCAACCTGCCATGTATTACAACCCATTTTCCTTGGTGCTTTGACGCACATCCCCTTTTATTGCAGATGCTGACCGGGAGAAGCTTGAACAGTGTGATAGCAAATATGCCCGCTACTTATGCAAGATAATGGGCATTTATTTTGATTACCACAAGGATGCCTACTTCATAAAAGGTTTGTATACATCAGTATCATCCAAGGAAGTAAAAAATGGTTCTGCCAAAGTACTTGCAGCGGGGACAGATCAGAAGCTGTGCAACCTTGTGACTTGACTTCACATTGAACTGCTTACAGGAGTGTATCTTCATGATCCAACAACGCTTATTGCTGCGGTGAATCCATCGCTGCTGACTTACACAGAAGGTGTTGTGAGGGTACAGACGGTTGGAATCACAAAGGGCCTTACTGTTTTCGATAACACCAAGAAAAGGTTAGGTCATTCTCTCTGTCTGTCAGAAAACCAAGTCGTTGAAACAGTAGCAGTAGATTTTGAAATGAAGTGATTTCCTCTTAATCCTATTGTACTATAGCGCACTTGTGAATTCGATTCATTCTTAAGTCCTAACGCCTGTTGAGTTCACTTTTGCATTGTATACGATTGGCTCTTAGTAGAATGCGGTAGAATTCAGGCTGATGCACTGAACATCCCGAGTGTGTTTGCAGGTACGGAGAGATCACAGCCTGGACTGGCATGCCCACCGTGAAGGTCGCTGTCACCGTCGATGCCCCTGCCGTGGTAGAGCTGATGATGCAGAGGCTGATGACTGATGACTAGCAGCAATGTCGGCTGATTGGCAGTACCGCGATTAAAAGACTATTTGCAATCTTAAGGGAGAAAGGCATTGGAACTTGGAATTGCATGTGTTGCTGACGAGAAATTTGGTCAGCATTGTCATGAAAACAACAAGATGCATTGCACGCGAGCTATCCACTTATGTGGTGCGTGCCTTGGTGTTTATGTACAGTTTGTATGCTCGATAATCGGCACATGGCCAATTCGACAATGTGATACAGTCATACTAGTACGTTGCTCATGCTTCTGAGAAAACAGAGTGAAATTAAGTTATTAATTAAATTAATTGAGCCACCTGATGCCAGATATTGTTCCGTCAGGTGTTGCACGATGTTATTGTATGGTCAGAAAATCAAATGTCCTAATAAATGACGTAACTTTGAATAATATACAGCCTGTTCGGCTGGTACTGAAACGATCGTATATGATCGTGGATTATTACTGCTGGCTGGTTTGGTGTGAGAGAAAAATATTGTTTGGTGCGATCGTATACTCTATTTGTTCCGTATTATACTCCCTCTGATTTTTTAAATGTCATATTAGTTTTGTTCTAAGATAAATATATTTCTGTTTTTAGCCATTAATTTTAATTTTTTATATAGGTTAACAACATACATTTATGTTTTTAGATCCGCTATGAAAAACATTTTCATAACGATAATGATACCGTGTGGGGGGACAGACCCCGCACGACTCGACCGACCGCCCTTCTTCAGGCTCGCTCGCTCATCCCCGTTCCCCACCCGCACATCCCCGTTCCCCACTTGCTTGCTCCGCTCATCCACTCTCCCCCGCGCTTCTCCCGCAGCCACTCGCCGCCGCAGCGCACTTCCTCGCCTTCCGGGCCTCGTGTCGTACAGCTCTCGTTCTCGACCTCCTCGGGGCCTGGGTTCCTCTGCCTTTCCCCCTCCTTCCGCCTCATATGCCCCGGGACAGACGCCGCGTGCCGCGCGGCAGGACGCTGCCGCCTCTCCCTCCATCCCTCCCCCATCCGCGACCTCCATGCGACCCCCACCGGAGACGAGGACGACGGCGGTGGCTCCGACAAGGTAGGTCGGGTCTTCTCTAGATCTAAGCCCTCCTCCACCTCCTCCTCTAGATATGAGCGCTCCTCGTCCTGCTCCTCTGGATCTGAGGGACGCGGCGGTGGCTAGGGTTCCGGCGAGCTCAAGGTCCCTATTCCCTCCTCCCGTATTGCAATGGGTGTTTTGGGATGTTGCAACAGACGTTTTTCGATGTTGCAGTACATATTTTTCGATGTTGCAGTACATATTTTTCGATATTGCAGCACATAATTTTCGATGTTGCAGTACATGTTTTTTGATGTTGCAGTACATGTTTTTCGATGTTGCAGTATATGTTTTTCATTGTTGCAGTAGATATTTTTCGATGTTGCAGTGCATGTTTTTCAATGTTCCAATATATATTTTTTCGATGTTGCAGTATTTATTGTAGTATTTACAACCTGATGTTGCACTACATAGTTTTTTCATATGTTTTTGCAATGTTGCAGTTGAAGTGTTACATGCTATTTTGGGACAGGGACGCGGTGGGGGAACAGGGTGCGTTGGGGAACGGGGGATAGGAGCGTGTTGGGGGGTGGAGGAAGGGCGGGTTCCATTTTCTATTCTGTTCCTCGCGGGGGGCGGGCTGTAACAGAACCGACCAAATCATAAGAACGTAAGTACAAAAACAATCACCGAAGCGATCAAATTCCTGTACTTAAGCTCCCATAATCCCGGTAGTCCGGAAATCACGAAGGATTTCAACCAACTCTCGACATACAAACCAAAACCGTAATGATTCAACACAACACATCATCCGTTACAACATTTCACAAGTAGCATTCGGATTACATCCATCAGAGTTCAAATAAAATATTACAAACCAAGTTTGAGTGTGCGGAAGCAACATAGTTTAGTACAAAACATCATAGTTTTCAAATACATTGCCAAGTCTGAGTCATGTCCCACAAAAGCATTATAAGGTACGAGAACTAGTAGAGACCACGCCCAACGGTCTAGTCTTCATCCCCAGCAGGGAGAAGGCAGTACTTGCAGCAACCAAAGTAGAACTGGTCATCTGCAACAGGTGGGAGATAAACCCTGAGTACGAGAAGGTACTTAGCTAGACTTACCTGACAAAAACCAGAAATAAAAGACACCAAGGATCATGCAAGGCTTTTCAGGTGCGCTAGCTTGACACAGTTGCATAAAAGGCCTTATGATTATAGTAACCAATTTAAACTTAGCATTAAGCTTATCATTATTTACCTGTCCACTAGATTAGCACCTGTACTAGAGCACTCACTTATTAGGAGCAAACAATATTAACCATAGCAGGTATAATAAGGCTATCATCATCATATCATCATTTCCGAACCATTATGTTATTAAGTGTATCTACATTGGAGATAAGCTCGTCAAGTTCTCACTAACCGGGAGAGACGGCGATTCGAATCGAATTACAACTCAGCTGAGGGGGTATTCCTAACTCTCACCCTGGCATACTTTGCAAGGGTAGCCGTGGGTCACCTTTGGAACAACTCATGAACCAAATTCGCGGGCTCGATCAGCGCCAGCACTCTCAGGGATTACCCTTCTGCCAGGACGATCAGGACTTTTAAATCACCTGCCCTTGGACTCACGCCTACGGCTCCCTTCCGAGGCGCACTTTATACTTATCGACTCCCGGCCTGAGGTGAGCTACTCGGCTTCGTGGTCGGTCTCCAGACCCGGCCAACTAAGAGAGAGGCATGCGTTCAACATGAACAGGAAAGGCTCCAAGATTCAGTCCTTAATCGACACAGACGGAGTCACTGCAAACCGGCAAGCCTCCGCCCGGTCTTCATTTCAAATTAAGACTGATTCTTTTCCACGATAGCAAATATAGCCAACCGTGCCACATGTATATTCCTATATCTCGCAGGTGACAGGAGATCACCCGACTTCTACCGCGTTTAAGCAGGGCTAAGCACTACATGAGCCTGAGCTACATAGGATTCAGGGTAACAATATCTGGACAAGGATTGGGTAACCAATGTAGCAATGGTTTGCATCCAACACCTAAACGTAATGCAACAATATATATATGTAACAATAATACTGTAACTGCATTTCGAAAATTAGGAGGCTTAATATACTCCGGGGCTTGCCTTTCACAAAGTTGCAAGGACGGTGGTCCGGGCACTCAACGGCGACCTCGTCTGGCACTTCTCCTGAAGGCTGCTCCTCCTGAATCTCCGGTGTCGGCTACTGCTGCTCGCTCGGTTCCTCGAATTCCAGCAGGGTCACTCCTTCCGGTACACCTATTGCATGCCGACGCAAAAGATAAATACCATGGATGCATAAGGAATGACATGATGCTCATGATGAATGAATCACAGTAAGTGTTTACCGAAAACATCACTGGACACTCGTTTACCGAGTAAGACTAGCCCTATTCAAATCACTTTAAGCATGTATCTAACTTAACTTAAAGAACAAGAGCAACTTACCTAACTTGCATAACCTAAGATAAAGATGCTCATCTTCAGTTAAAGGCCTAACACCTAGGAACATTACCACAACTTAGAATAGTAAAGGTATACATAATTTAACATTTAAAGTTTCATATGCATACAAATCGTCCCTTAATTCAATCACAACCAGAGTTCTACAAATCCAAATGACTTGCAAGAGGACATTCTGGAAAGCTTATGAAATCCTCTACAATTCATTTGTAAACATCAAAGCATGATTCTTAAGTTAACCAAATCAAATTCCAGTAAACCTAGAATCTGTCCCGCAATGACAGGGTTGCTAACTTAATTATTTAATGATGATGCAAAAGCATAATTTGATCAATCCAAGTTTACCAACTTGTTTTTCATACCTAAGAAACATCAGAAAGTATAGTGCAAACTTCTAAATAATTTATTTAATATCCTTTTCCAATTTATTTAGTTAATTAGGTGATTTAAGCAATATATAGTAAAACTATTCATACAAATCTACAAAAATTACAGTAGCTATCTCATGCTGCACATAGACTACCATAAAAATTTCAAAGCCATTGGAGTAAGTATAACAACCTACACAAAAATGGTAAGGCAGAATAGCTTAAAATGGCATAATTAGGAAACCTTAGTGAAAAGTGTCAAGCAACAGATTTCACATTTTTTCTAGCATCATTCTAGCATAAGAATAGCACTTATCAAATTTTACCTTCACTGGATCTATAGAAAAATTATGAAAATTCACGCAAGATCCACCCATTAATAAAAGGAAATTCTATAACTTACAAACTACACATGTACTAGCTCTGAAATTTTAACCAGAGCTTCTAATAAGCACTAATAGACTACCCACAAAATTTCATAATTTTTGGACCACAGAAACTCAAGATAAAATTCAAACAAGTTTGCATGCATGTAAAAACACATTTCAAAGTCCTTATCAATTCATCAAAAATTTCTAAAACAAGTGCTCATATAATATTTTTGTTAAATACTAGACATGACCAGGAGCTTAACAAAATTGGAACCATAGCATTTGGATCTATATACTAGGAAATACAGATTTTTGAATATAAATACAAATCTGTGAAATAATAAAACAAAACAAAATAAGGAAACAAAACTCAGCCACGGTTGGACCGGCCCGAAGGAACAATGACCCCATGAACAACAACAAGCAAGTGGCCCAAGACGCTGGCGCTTGCCCATGCTTGGGCTCCCGCCTCACCTCGCGGTGGCAATAGATGTCCCGTGATGATGAGACAGCAGGGGGAGGAGAAGGAGACGGCGGCGAAGCTCGTCGGTGACTTCTCCCCAAAGCAACAATGCTAACATTTCGCCTCCACCACAGGGACCTAGGGGAACCATCGATTGCAGCTAAGGACGCAGCTAGAGGCGGTGGCGATGGCCACGGCGGCGCTCAGCCACGGCACGGCCGGCTCCGACGATGCTACGGCATCGCAGCCCTAACGGGTGGCTCGAGGAG